AGCCAACAGCGAGCGCATCTGGGATTCAAAAAGTAATCCACCTGGCTATACTCGGATTCCGTCATGGCGCGGACCGGCTCCCAAGATTATGCTGAATCCCAAAATGTATAGACATCAGCAAGTCAGCATTAAAACGCAATGGATTCAGGAGGGTAGCAGCGGACAAGATGCTCACGAAGAGGAAGAAGTTGATACAATGGTTTGATCAACTATCCATAGCTAGTTGTCCATGTCATTCCCAAGTCAAAATATTCATGAATGTCTATATAATCAGAATTGGGTATTCAATAAAGATACAGTTGTCTTCAATCAGACACTTAAAGTGGCCGTCGAAGACTGCTGTCCCCACAGAGATCAACGCTATTTATCAATGTGGGGGATGGTACGTATATGCGGCCGTCCGCGACGCCCCTCGACACAGTCCAGGAAGTTTATCCTAATTGTCGCGGCGTGTACGGTGTTGCACGAATATGGACGTCCGCGACGCCCGCCTCTGCACATGGTTGGCCACGCCCCGAATATGGACATCCGCGACGCCCGCCTCTGCATGGACATCCGCGACGCCCGCCTCTGCACATGGTTGGCCACGCCCTGCCCTGCATCTCAGCCGGAATGTCAGTGCGCATCGCATTGCATGAGAACGAACGTCCGTGGCGCCCATCTCCGCACGACGGGCATACCTAGGCTTTTCAATAATGGCATCAAAGCTACAGACATTCAGGATAGCCACTTTCATGCACTGTAAGCATATCCTGGTATCTGAATGTATTATCACTGGAGAGTTCTGCAATATAACCATGTAAGTGACAGTAATAGTGTTTGTGGAAACCCCAAAGCTAATTTTACATCAATAACATCTGCTCTGTGCTATGTAAATTACAGCTCACAAAGACTGCATTAGTTTTAAAGTCTTGCTTCATGTCCTTACTATTCTTTCTTAGCAGACAAGGCTACCAACTTTGAGGTCAAAGCTAATTATATCATACTATGCTACTTATACTCTTTGTTGCCAAAGCTCACTTTGAAGGTTATATAACAGAAGAAAGCTTAAATAAGTGGTTCAACACAGTACTTTAGATATATGCATTGTAGCTACCAACAACTTCATGTAAGCATGTCAGAATAGTCAAGCATGATGACTCCCAACAGGCTTTTACTATTTGAAAGTCTATGTATTGGTAATGATTTCAAGATATACATAAAAAAATCAAACTGCACAAAAAGTACAAAACAACTACAACAGCAAAAGGTATGTTTTCCTGATGTAGAAGTATAGAACTCTAGGTTTTAAATATCAAATAATGCAAACCGATTCAGGCATAGTAGGTTTGATAAACTGCACATGTAGCCACCACTATGTTCCAGATTGAGATTTGTATGGGTGCATTCAAAACACACATGCTCATATAGCATGTCTACAAGACATGCATGGACTCACATCAATTATTATGCATGTAGATAACCATCAGGTACAAACCCATATATATTTTTATGCTTCAGAACATGATGCTTCAGGAAAAGTGCCCTGAAGAATCTGTACATCTCCTTTTCAACATGTGTTCTACTCGTGTAGTTATAGTTGATGACAGCAACTGAATCATTGCTGTCAGGTATGTTATATCCAGGAGAAGTGTCCTGAAGCATCCCAACTGAATTGTTGCTGTCAGGCTACACTGTGCATATACGAACATTTGTTTGGTGCTATTGTACAAGAACTCAAAGTAGTTCTTTTGTATACTGACTGAGAGTGTAGACTTCCTTTCTGTAGAACGGCCAGGCTTGGTGGCTTTCTGCAGGCTTATACTTGTTTTCTTTTAGTAGTAGAATTATGCAAAGGGCAGTTGCTTACCTGTGGTCGACATAAATGTATGCTACAGCAACTAATGAGTGAGGTGGCAATTTTTTGCCACCTCACTATGCTGGTTGCAGTGTTGCTTCATTATATGGAACACAGGTTGCTACTGGGCTTAGCATAATTCTACTACAGATAACATTGCAACTGTATCCATGGTGAAATACAATAAAATAGGTATGGCCATCCAAAGATATACTGCTGACTTTGATAATAGTTGCATTGTGAAATATATGTAAGATAGACCTCAATGTGTAGACCCTAAGCATCATTCTAAGCTACTAATTATAGATGTTCATAAATAACTTAGCTACTTGGAAGCAAATATGTTGTTGGAATGCTCTCAGGTTAAATATATGTTGTAACAACACTAAGATAATTAGCTACTGACAGACACAATAGATGGGCTTGTTTAATCAGTAATCAGGTCTTGGTATGCTATTGTTTTTGTTTGAATACATAGTTAAGGCAAGTAGCCATTTAGCTTTGATCTATATTTTACTATTGTTTATAGTCAAGTAAGTGGGCCTGAGTATAGTACAGATATGCATAGAGAAACTTGTGAAGTTAATGAGAGTCTATCAGAAATATGAGTGTCAAAATAAGCAATAGTAATAGTGATATATTTGGTGATAAGCAAGAGTAATACTAAATATTTTACACAGCAAAAGTCTAAGTTCTATCTGAAAGCTGTGGAAGTTATCTTAAGCATCTAGACCACTCATAGACAGGAAATATATTGATAACATTCAAGTATAGGCTTGATACTTACAGGATACTATGCAGGACTATGTTGGAGGTATCACAGAGACTGCTGAAGTGTGGGCATTGTGGACGATGAATGCAGACGGCGAACCCCGTGGACGTACCAACTGGGAGGTAGGATGGCTGTCACAGATGGCCGTCTAAGACGGCCACCAAGTTAGCGCATCGCTCAAGATCGCGTTTGAGTTCTGGCCATGCATATCACAACTTATAGTGTTAAACATCGAGGAGTGCTATTATATGCAATGTAAGTATACTTTTAAAGCACACGAGGTGCGCGTTGGGCGGCCGTCTCAGACGGCCATTCCATTACTGCGCCTGTGCTCGTTAACATTCATGCTGACAAAGGCATATTGCACAGGATAAGGTCGAAGAGTGAATGGTCGTTGTATGCGGTGGAATTCCTATTATACATCATAAGAGTCCTAATGCACAGCATAAGAGTCCTAATGTACAGAATAAGAGTCCTATTGTACAGATTGAAGTCCTATTGTACAGAATGAATGTCCTATTGTACAGATTGAATGTCCTATTGTACAGAATGAATGTCCTATTGTACAGAATGAATGTCCTATTTGTACAGAATCAATATCGTATTGTCCATCATGTCCGCAGAGCACACTAACGACGTTGTCCAGCTCGACGATATTCAATACATCATAAGTCGCGCACCGATCTGCTAGCCTTCAAGGCTTGTATTCGTCATTATCGCCGCGCTTCTTACTCCCTGGGCGAGCCTTCTTCTTCGCCGGCGGCAAGTCCTTGAGGGAGGTTGTGTCGAAGACCTCCTCAGTTGCGGGTTCCTTGCCGCCACGCCCCTTGCCGCCCCTGCCGCCCCTGCCGACCCTGCCGCCTCGGCTGCCTCGAGACTGGGCTCTCGCACTGGTCTTGGGCTTCTTCGGCGGAGGCGCCACCGGGCTGCTCAGGGGGTGTTTCGACGGGCCTGCAGGAGGCGTACCCGGAGGCGGAGTGAGCGGTTCTAGAAAGCGTTATATTACCGAAATGAATATAGATTGATGATACACTTACCCAAGTCTTCAGCCATGGGATCGACGCTTTGCAGACCCAGATTCTGCATCCCTGTAAGATCGGGCGTTCGTGCCCCGTCATTCGTCGGCGATTGCTGACCCGCTGAAGACGACGTATCCGACTTGGAAGACTCGTCCACCGGCGAACTCATTCCTGACCGATCGCCGTGCCTCATGACAACATCAGCTGCCGAATCAAGATGGAAGGGTGCCGTGGGCGTCGCGGACGGCCCTGCCTGTGCGGACGGTCTTGCCTGCTCGGGGGCGGGGACTGGGGCCGACGGGGCTGTGGGCACAATCGGTGTCGGCGCGGGGAGGCTGGGCGCGAGGTCTTGGGCCGGAGGGCCTTTGTGCGGACGGGGTGCTGGCACAGGGCGAGCCGGAGCAGCGCTGGACGTCCCGGACGGCCCTGCCTCCTCTTCGTTGTCCACGACAATCGGCGCGGATTTTTTCCCTTTCCTGCCCGTGTTCGACTTCGTTGCGCCAGTGTTCTTCTTCCTCTTCGGCTCAGGTATTTCTTCGATATCGGACGTGCCGTCGTCGAGCACATCCGCTGCATCAGACTCCTGGCCGAATAAGTTGCCTGTAATTGCATAATGAGTAATTGTAATACTGCGATATTCACAAACGGGCTACTTACGCATCGGACCCGGCATCCCCGTAAAGGCCTTCATCATTGTCGCCTTGTCGAATGAAATACGATTCAGGAACACGTCCGGCGTGTTCCATGCGATCAAGCGGTAGACGTGCACCTGCTTTGGTTGCGGGTGTCGCCATACGCGCCCGATGAGTTGCGAATCCTCTTGCGCCGACCATAAAGTGTCCTAATAGATCAGTTAGCTGGTGCCATTTGCATCTATGTGCGCTTACCATCATAATTAATATATTTGCGCACGCCAAATTCAATCCGACTAATCCAACGCCCAAGAGGATGAGAACGCGCGGGTCTGCGCGCCCGCCGTCTTTGAATTGCTGAATTCTCTTCGCCCGTTGACTCACGGTGACGTTCCCCGTAACTTCGATCCAGGTGATGTTACGGAACTCAAAGAACTAAGATTTGAAATTAGCGAGGTAAAGCTTAAGGAAGATCTGTACTTGCCGGCAATATCACCTCGAGATTGGCCGGGAATGCGACGAAGACAATAATTTTGTCCGGCGCGGCTCCTTCTCCGCGCGGCTCCTTAACGGCATTTGGGGCGGGCGCGAGGACGTTCTCCGAGGCCGGCTCTGACTCTGGCGTGAGCAGAGGCGGCAGGCCATCCTCCTTGAGATGATACTCGAGTATCTCCAGTACCGCTTTGATCTTCGTGGAGATCTCCTTCTCCGCTTCCTCCGCATTGGTAGGAGCCTCCCACGACGCATCGTGACAGCCGATATGGGTGAGCGACCGCCGAATTCCCAAATAAAAACTCTGTTAGATAAGTTAGACGAGTAATGTCGCGTAGATATGGACGGGCGTCCTGGACGGCCGATTGCACAATGCTAGGCTGCTGACTCGACTCGAAACCATCTGCGCAGAGGGCACTGCACCACGGTACGGGCGTCCTGGACGCCCGTACTGTGCTGTCATGCTCCGGCTGTGACGACGGTTAATTGTCGCGTGACTAGCTGCTGCCCAGCGTATGCTGCACGGGCGGACGTCCTGGACGGCCATAACAATCCCCGTTCGAAAGAAACTTACCTTGCCCATTTGAAACGCCGCCTCACGACCACCCTCGGAAATCAGATCTTCGGTCAGCCCCGTGACGTACTCCTGTTCATGGTCGGCCAACTTGACCAGGAGCTTGTGCTCCTGGTAGTCGGCCAATCCCGAGATTTGACTCCCCGTGTAGTCCAGCGAATTTACCATTCGACGAACGACGGCACCTTTGAATTTCTCGCATATATCTGCGAGCGCCCTCACGATCTCCACATGATACTCAGATC